ACCGACCCAAAACCAGGTCGATTGAAAATACTCGCTGGTTCTTGCAAGAAAGTATTATCTCTCATATCATTAGTGTCCTCTCTATCATTTTGTTCCATATTCTCGTCAAAGATTCGATCACTTAAGAGGTCGGGAGTGCTTTGTGCTTTGCTTAATGTACTCCAAACATCCGAGATTCTTCCCCTTTTTCCTATTTGTTGAGCTTGTGTCTCGTATGTTCCTACATACATTACTTCAGAATCCCTTCTCAGACCAGTAAGGCTACGTATCGATTTTTTCCCATTTACTTCAATCTAACAATGTATAATTTGGTCAGATATGTGGAAATGAAATTTTCCTTCAATTAATACATTTCACATGAACAAAACGGATTCAATGTTAATTTTTATTTGATGTTAATATTATGCTATTGTATTCAAAAGAGTTTTAATGAATTTAATTAATGGTATTACAATGTACTTTTAAATAAATATAATTGATAGTGAAGAAAGTACAAATTTAAATTATTATTTTTACCTCCACCACTTTGAAATCGTCAACGGCTTTTTTCGCTAAAGCTTTCTTACAGACTGCACTACCGTGTTTCTTGGTTGTGGTGCCCACGATATCGCTGAACGTTAGTGAAGGCTTCACTCGACCTTTGAAGGTCAACATACTGGGTTTCTGAGGTAGAATGCCGGTTTCGTTAACCGTGGCTAAATCCAATTTCGTTCGATCTTTCGACAGCTTCTTTTGTTCCTTTTCAGCTCTAATTTCTGCCATTTTTTGTTTCTTCATATATTCCTTCAACCTGTTTTACAGATAATTGTAAACAGTAAAAATTGAAATTGAAAGTTATATTAACGCTGATACATTTTTATTTGTATTATTTAAAAAACTTTTAAACGGTTCAGTGAATATACCTTTTCTCGGCATCTTTTTCAGCCTTTTCCCGAAGTATCCGACTTTTCTTGCGATTGTTTAATTCCTGATCAGCTTGAGCAAAATCTAGAAATTGAAGAGTCATTTCTCTACCGTTTATAGCTGCTAAATCTCTTGCAGAATGTCTATCGATGTCCAATGACCAAATATTACAGCCGAAATTTACGAGGAACTTGACGCAATACTCATGACCCCTTGCCGCTGCTAGGTGGAGGGCTGTGTTACCAAAATAATCGGTTTTGTCGGGGTCGCCCCTACGGAGAAAATCGTTAAATGTAAGTAAATTATTCTGCGTCTGTTACTTCCTTGTTCAGTGTATATATTCGCGTAATTGAAGTTATATGCTGAACGTAATATTTTCTATTAACAATGTACTACGAGAAATATTTCGAAACAATCACTGTGAAAGATGTAGAATCACGGTTTTTCTAATGGAAATATTTCGACGATCTACAAAATATTTTATATTTTTATAATTGTCATTATTAAAAATAAATACTCTTGTTCGAAAGGGACTTGTCCTTTGAAAACGAATGGAGGGAATAAATGGGCTTTGTAGCATCACATCCTGTCACGCGATGACACATGAGCGGAACAAAGTTCCGGAAGGATAGCAGGTCTTATATCGAATTTCTATCGTTCGGCAAACCACAACTGAAGTCAGTAAAACAACATCAGATCTTATTTACAATAGGGCACGTGCGGTGTTTCAGCTTTTATATCGTCTCTTCACGGATCATCGTTGATTCTATGAAATAATATGCGGTTATAAAGCGGTCCCAACGATTCCATGTAAATTATCACTTCGAAACAGATTTGGAAAATTTCGATGTATCAAAAATTGAAACAAACAATACTACATAAAAAGTAAAATTGCACTATTATTCTAGCAAACGTACCATTGCACATGTATTATGTTATTATATTATGATGCTACATCATTACACTGTGTACTATCCATGTATAATTACGTAAGAAGATAAAAAAAATATACCACGCATAATAAGCATATTTTATTTCCCATTTCCTTTATTCTTTTTTTTTTTTGCTTTCAGTTTAAAAGTACGAGAATTGTAAGAATACTTTTTACAACTATTAACTGTTAAATCAAAATTCTATTAAATTAATTTAATATTGTATTGATTCATTTTTCTATAAGTCGTGTAAGTACAAATTTGATTGAAGTAGTGCTTTTTGACCGTTTCACCAGTGTTTCAAATGGCGTTATAAGGACCGGTCGCGAATCAGTGCAGTGGTTGAATTAGTGTCTTAATTCAACAATTTAATCGTGTGTTTTTATGTCTTATTGTGCAACTTCGATAAAGGAATCGTTATTGTGGTGTGTGCAAGATGTGTAAATGATTTTGCTAGAAAATGTCAATATTATAGAACAATTTTAAGTAACTACGTAAAATAGCAATTCCTCGTTCCCTTGTTCCGTTTCATTCCGTTCCCCCGCGTTTTGTCCCATTCGTATTCAATTGTTTTTCATCGGTGCTCGCTTGGCCGTAATTTCCGTTCGTGGGGTCGATAGATGCCAGATTATAGCGTATATTTCCGGTTTCGCACATCTGTCATTGCTTAATATAAAACTTTTGTGTACATACATGCATATGTGCGAGCATAGGGAATAGGACAGTGCGCGCACGTAACCTTACGCGCGTTTTAAAAGTGATCAACGTTGTACTAACCGATCTAACATTTTCGACGTTTCGGAAATGTCATTTGTGCGAAGTATTGTTAAAGGTTTCGTGTTCACTAGCCACAACGACCTCGTATTCACCTCACATGTTGGCTTTCAAGGTTACAGAGGTACGTACGTATATACGCATTTAAAATTTTTTACGAAGTTTTTCATTTTTTAAAATAAATCTACTTTTCTTATTTAAATTGCAAAATTCGATAAATAGGGCAACTTGTACGATAAAATTTGCTAATACGTTATGGGAAGGTTAAATTTATTATATTTGAAATTTCGTATTATACGATATTAAAATTATAGTTTTTGCGCATGTGCAAACTACGAAATCTATTACTAAAATGGCGCGTAAATATCGAAACGCGAATGTAACCGGAAACGATGAACATCGTTTCGCGCCAAAAGTGGTCAGTTTTGTGTGGCAGTGGCAGTTGACAAATGTTGCATCGTGAAGTTTCGCGACGCGTATAAGATGTTTCTCGAATGTGTTTATAAGTAAATAGTTTTGCGGGCATACCCTCTGGCGACGAGCAGTCTCAGAGCATCTATATGACCTTCAAAGGCTGCCCATAATGTGGGGGTCACTCCTCCTTCATCCCGTGCGTTACAATCCTTTTTTGTTGCTTCTTTTAAAATGTCTAAGGCACTGTTTCGTGCAGCTCTATGGAAAAACGTATTTTTTGCGAATAGTTGGCGATCACATGCAATTAGTCAGATAAATTCTACGTCGTATTTAATATACTACGTTTAAAATATATCGTTGTAGCAACTGTATATAACATATTTGATATTTAATACGTCACATAAGACTTTGCATCAAACTTTCACACGCCGAATATTTAAAATTCTCGATTTACGTAAAACAAAAACAGGCAGTCTCATTTTTTTTCAAAAAAAGTGCAAAAACAGTATGCTAGAGTTTCTTAAATATGTAGTGCAAACTTTTCCTTTACAATTTTTTTTTAACTTCACTTTGAACAGAGCTATAGTCTGGATAAGTTGCTAGAATCACGCTATAGGTATATATTTACAGGTATCTTGTCGTTTAATTGCTAGTTATCTCGTTTGTAGGTAATTTCTTAGCTCTAATTATGAATTAAACTGCTCAACTAGTGCTACGATAATGCGACACAACACGTGATAGTTTTCTCCTTCGTTCGTGTTTTCTTCTCTTAATTAGTCTTTCTCTAATTAAAAGCCATTACACAAGATTTTACATACGCATTTACATATTTCGACGTTAAAAGTTTGTTTCGTACTATTATTAAACACTTCGATCGATTATCCAACGTTATTTTATTCTATTACGTGCAATTTTCGAAATGTATCGGATTTCGTCGTGTTGCACGAAGAAGAAAGAAAAGAAGATGCTACACGAGAAACGAGAGCGAGGGGTGTCAGAGAAAGTACGTGTTTAAAGTTTTAACGAGTTTCATGCATGATAATTTTCACCGTGTTACAAATCATTTACCGTGAACGTGCCTTGACATCTTTGTGTTATACGTATTAGTTTTGCTTGAAAGTGTAACTATTATAAGAGAAAAGAATATTTGCATTGAATTAAGTGGGATTGTTCATTGTAACCTTTTTCAGGTTATAATAGCTATTATATACACGTGTATACAGAATTAGCAATTGAATTTAAAATAAAAAGTAAATCTGTTTTACTTTAATATGATTTCCATTATTGTTCACTTTCATTGCAATTATCTTTGTTACATTTGATATCTTGAAGCTGTTATTAAAGTATCTTTGTAGTGAATAAATTTTCGTTGTAAATAAATTAATAGAAATCAGTACTGTCGGAAACAATAAAAAATTTATTATAAAATGACAAGAAATCTGAAGTATATGTATCGCAGAAAATATTCTAGAGTTCATTAGTTCGTTAGCATGCATCTTCGTAATATAATTGAACTGAAAATTAATGCAAAATTGAAGTAATATCATTTACATAATGCAGAGTAATATTTTAATAGCATTAAAAATATATTTGTGATGATATTTTTATAAAGACGTATATATCTGAGATTTATATTAATACGTAATTATATCGATAATTTTCAAGTTATTTACGATATACTTTATCAAGTATTTCTATTCGAAGAGTGTGTTATTGCACGTTTTAATTAAGTTATGGCTTTTTTAACCAGAGATGATACTCAGAAGTGCCGTATAATACACCTGGTGTTCGTAGAAATGAACTGGGTGATAAATCGTCGTACTGAATCAAATAAAAGCAAAGGTGTTCTCATGTATAAATTCCGCACGCGCGATGTTGATGTACATATACCGATGAAGTGGTGCATGATCGTAGCTATTGCACAGTTTTAGGTAAATAGGTATATACTTGGAATTTTTTAAATTTTTGCATGCAATAACGCTACATTTAATTGGTATAATTAAAAAAATTACAAATTTACCGGTACAGTTTTGCCTTAAAAGTTTTCATTAATACCGACGTATATGTATTCACGAAACGAACACTCGTGTATTATCGATACATTAAGAATATCAATTAATTCACATTAATGCAGGATTTTTAAGACATTGATTCATCTGGCGTTAATTAAATTATTCTAGATATCAATTTTTTTTTTACAAGTGTGAGGAAAAATAGAAGTAACAATGTGTACACAATAATTAGAAAATGAAAAAAAACATGTGGTATGATGTGATATCGTATGGATTATGAAACGGTCAATTTCTCTGACCGATATATCCCATCGAATTTGAACTGGTGATCAAGATTTCAAAGTGCAATACTTCTCGTTCTCATGGTTAACCAGGCATGTCATTTTTTCACTTTAGCCCGAGACAAGAACCTGCCTCCGCGACATTTCTCTGCTTCCTAGGTCTCAAATATCTCGTTGTAGCATATGAACGCGTACCATTGGCAGGGAAATAAGAACACAGAAAACTCAAAAAGGTATGCACAAAGTCTGTTGCTTGTATAAAAGGAAACTCACTTGTGAAACCGCTCGGACGTCATTCTGTTCCTTGACCCTTTCGGAAGTGGTGTTATCGATGGCAAAACATCCCTGCCGTAGACAGGACTTTCTGGCACTTCTTATATAAGAGACACTTTAAATAACAACGAATGCGAATATCAGAGATTCTGCATATTTTCCACGGGGTTAAAGGAACCACGCGTGCTGAGTATGGCGTCCAGCAGTGTACTGCTCAAACGAACGAAGGAACTTGGACGGTGTTCTGTTGCCCCTCACCGAGTCTATCTTACTTTCGACTATTAATTTGACAAGTCCTCTCTCGCTCTTTCACCAGTTCCCGCCGTCGCTCACCTGTACCGGTGCCTGCATACGAATACTTCCCGCCACCTGGCGTTCAATACCCTGCTGCACGAGTGTGCAACCTGCCTCTCTACTCTATCGGCAAACTTTCGTAATGTCCACTATTAATCTTGTATAACGTCTTTAGCAACTGAGTCATTTTATACAAAAGTTTCATGCAATTCGATTCATCGTCTTGTAACAGCCTAGGTACGTATTTCGAAGTTCCTTAGGTTGCACATATTTCAGACTATAGAAATTTCAATAAATCGTACAATCAACGATATAGCATCGAATAATTGTCGTTATTGTTCTACTATAGACGAAGGTACAGGATAGATCTTTCATCTTACGGATGCGTCACAAATAGAAATACGGATATAGTAAAAAGTCACAGGTTTAGTGACGCCCTCTGTAATTTAGAGTGGTGACTTTCGGAGTTACATGTTGCCTAACTATCCAAGTTGGTGAAGTCTCTGTTTTATCACATCGGTAAATGATATTGCGAACGAGGTACATCCCCGTCTATTAAATTCACTCGAAATTGACAGCACACGAGCACACACGTGAAATAAATCATCTCCAATGAAAAATTGTCTTTCATACTTTTTATTACAACACAAAGAGAATATATTATAACGAATCAATTGGTAAAATTTTTGTGGTGAAAGTCAGTCGAAATATGACCTTATTAAAACTGGTTTTAATTATACATATTGCCATAGTATTTACCGTTGTTAGTTAACTTTCAAAGTTAAAAATAATTTTGCAGCAAGTATTTTCGAATAAATCTCCATCGATTTAAAAATGTACATTAATCTCTGAAAGCCATGTTCATTTTATAATCTACGTAAACCTGTCTCACACGAATCAGATAAACTGTGCATGCATAAATCTAATTATATAAAAGTTTGTTCTTTAAGGTAGATTACAGAAGTGATTCGATTTACTTAGGATTTCGTTTGAAATTTTTGATTCCACTCTCGTTTCATTCTCTACGGGTAGTAGATTAATAATTAGCATATAGTTTCTATAAAATTTCAGAGCAAAACGATTAAAATCGATTCTCGCAGTTCTTCAGATTCTGAGACGTAAATTGTTTCCTGTTATGCTGTGTTTATAAAATTGTAAGCACAAACGAAGTATAGCATATTTCATAGATTTAGTTTTAATTCCGACCACCGTTAATGTCGCAATCTTATTCCGTGCTGAATCGGTAAAGTTGGGATGACATGGCAATGTTAAGGGGGTTTAGAGCCCGAAAATTCTGCTACAGATCTATTGAAAAGTATATTTTATATTTCATCTGTCTCTAAATCTTGTACTGTCGTATAGTGTATCATATTTTATATGTATCCTTATAAGTCACGGATAATTTTGTCAGTTTATAACGAAAATGGACATATTTAATAAACTTTGTGAAAGTTACCGACATGGAGAAGATGACGTCGCAGTCGGTGAGTCTGCAGTTTCTTTTATCAACTGTAAGCATGCAACAAGATGAATATTTCCTGTAAACAGTTCTGTCTCTCCTCCCATGCAGTTCATCTAGTACAAATGACACTTTTGAAATTGTTTTATTGAGACATTACAACAGTCAGCATGCAAAGATTACATCGAGTCCAGAATCTTACAACGATATTCATTTATTTCAACACGCTTGCTAAGTATACAATTCTTGGCTTGCGACAAAACTGCTTATGTCGGTTAAAGAACATTGTCAATGCTGTAAACGATATTTTTCAATTGCTCTTGGGTAATAATTTGCAAAATAAAAGCAAATTTGTTCAGCTGAGTTTTCCTATCTAAAATTATACTTTTTTTTTTTAAAACATCATTTTCTAAGTTACAGCATTACTTACGTTACACAATTTATCGCCTTTCCCTATTGCCGTAAGTTTCAAAATTAATTAAATGCATCAAATTGACATCGATCTTGTTTTAAATAATTCATTTGTTACTTTTAATACTGACACAAAATTACCATATTTCCCCTTTTAATTTCACTATCTACAAATATTGCTCTGGATTTACAGCATTGACGACGATAGCAAGCAATCTTTCCTACTGTTATCAATACTTATTACATAACTTATAATTTCATCACAGCTTGATTATGTTTTTCTTGTTAATCGCTAACTATATATTTCGTATATTTACATCGTATCGATATGAACAGTAAACAGAGAAATGTTAATATATAATTTATCATTTTCGAGATTACACCTTTGCGTACGTTAAATTGCACTTTATAGACCAAAATTTATCAAAACATCGTTCCATCTGAGTTCGTAAAAAAAAAAAGAAATTTAAATACCCGGTTTCGTCAAATCTTCCTTATCAGATAAGTATCTATCCTTGATCTCTCAATTAGACATCGCAATTTTATTGCAAAAGGAGGAAACTAAGTTCTGTTTCACTATGACACAGGGTACAAACACTAAATGTATATATATATACATAAATATCGGATTTCAATAAATTTCGGTCTCTAAAGCGTACATGTGCGTACACACGAAATATCTTCTAACAAAGAATTCCCCAAAGTGTGCACATCGGGCGGGGAAGATATTGGACTTAGAGCCAGAGAAGTGATCTTCCAAATATCTTCGATATTTCATCGTTTTTATACACGTATATTGTTTCAAACATTGGTCCATTCAAACTCGATTAACAAATAACGTTTTGTTTCCTATAGATAAATACTGTTCGTTTCGTTCTACTCCTTGTGTTATTCTTTATTCCAATCGCTGAAAAAATACTTCTAAATGCAAGTTCGATCACCGATTTTCTTAGACGCGAAATTTCTCAGAGAAACTAAACGAAGAGGGTTTTTCCTTCTTCCGTACCAATTCTTTGTTCTTTTTCTTTGTTTTCCGAAGGTAAACGAGATCTGGAGAACGGTGATTTTCATGTTAAACGTTGACTTAACACGGTTCAGTCCCGTGTCTCGTCAATGCCTTCGTATCGTCGTACGATAAATATAAAAATAGATCTTTACATTCATTTGGCTAAGCCTTCGTTTGTTTGCTTTTTAAATAACAACGCGTATATCACTTGACGTTAAATGGATTGTCACATTTGTTAGGCGTTATTTTTCTTCTTCTTTCACACTCGACCCCGAGCGTCGTACAAAAGTTCATACAATTTCTTCGTTTCTCGTTCGAATATCGTTCGAGAAGAGAGAGATAGATCCTCGTCGAATCTAACATCGATTTAGATATATATATATCGTACGGTTTTTGGTACATCGATAAATAGGCCGCAGTTTATGCGAACTCGTGAAAATGTTCAACGATAGAACGAAAGGGAATCGCGCAGCACTTCGTTTCTCATCGAGTTAATCGCGCTTTCGTGAACGCAGTGCTGGAGATTATTTCGATATACAAATACAACGTGGTACATATTCAAAGTGAACACGATATGATAGAGTGAAACGTCGTCGTATCGCAGATACATCGATTTTTCGTAGCACGGTACAATTTTTAATTCAACGTTTATCGTTTCGGATTCGAAAGAGGAAATTTTCTCGAACGGGTCGAGAAAGTTCGCTTACGCTTGTAGCTTAATTTTCGATGAAAATACCGTCGCGTTTGAAAACATACTTCTCGTCAAATTGCAACGTTCAACGCTCTTTTTCTTCCATTACGATCAAAAAGAAGTATAGTAATTGCCCCAGCTAAAACAGGTATATAAATACTGACCAAGCAAATAAGGGTAAGAAATCATACTTGATTGAAAAATTTTTTATCAATATAATTGTAACTATAAAATTTATAGCACCTATAATAGATGATATACCTGACATATGCAAAGGAAAAATAGTAAAATCAACCGAAGGTGAAGAATGAAATATATAAGAAGACAAAGGAGGATAAACTGTTCATCCAGCACCAGGTCTAACTTGAAATAAATATCTTATAATTAATAAAATTAAAGATGGAGGAAGTGACCAAAAACTAATAGCTATATCAGGAGAAGCAATTATTAAAGGAATTAATCAATTACCAAACCCACCAATCATACTCATGGGCAGTCATGTTCCAGTTCATATTCCAGGTCTACTCAATTCTATACGAATAATTATACTTAGAGATGTTCCAATCATACCTGACCATAAAGCAAAAGCAATATCTCTTCCACTGTTCGATTCATGATCGTCTGTGACGTCACAAATTATTGACGAAACGGGTTAAGCGGATTGTGGAAGTTTTCTGCGATTATTTTTGCCAGAAACATGTTTCACGATTTCTACGCTTTCGGTGTAAATATTCATCTCTCAGATCGATGGATCATTTAAGAAGGTGCGTTAATCGTTCGCCATCGACTTGGCAAGTTTTGTCTATCGTACGCAACGTTTGTAAAGAGAATAGTGTCCTTTGGAAATGATTGTCTTGCAACAGAATGCAATTCCCAGCAAGTCATTTCAGCGTCGCTTAGGCTATATTTCGGGATTATTGAGCACGCATCGTGTTAACCTGTATTCAGCCACCTTTGTGGCTGATTCAAAATTTCTATCGTTGAATTAACACACGAGAAATGATACCAGATTGAAAAGAAAATTTACTACTGTTGAGAGAAATTTTTGTGTATTTAAAAAATATGTTACCGACTTCTGTCTGAAATTTGATCGAAATTTAACTATGTAAAGATATAATCAGAACGAACGGAGCCACGTGAAACTAAGTTTGTCATTTCCTACACGTGGCTGTATTTTTGTGCACCATTTTATTCGGTACACTTCACGTTCAACTTCTCGTTAAAACGTTGCACGTCGAATACGTGGTTCGAGTAACAATCGGTCACGTCGACCAGAAGATACAACGAGTTCGTCAATGCTTCAGTATTTTTACAAACGTGTATTTAATTCTGTGAAATTGAAATTTTCGCTCGTTGAAAACCAGAAATTTAGTGAATCCTTGAGTTCACCATTTTTATACTTCCTTTTTACTTTGTACCCCAATTACCTTCGCTGTAGATATTCAGGTGGTTCAGACTTCGTCCTCCTCTATGTACAAAGTAGTTTCCTCGGTTTTCCCATAATTTTGCAAATTTCCTCTGTGAAAATGGTGCCGTTGTTCCTTCGACGGTTCGTCGTTGAACAGAGAATTTTTAGCTCTGTCGTACGTTTCGTCCTCCTCGAGATCGTCCTCCGAATTTTCCACGTTGATCGCCGAGACACTTTCCAGCTCGGGTTCCTCGAGCAGAGCGTCGACTTCGGTCGGTCCCTCGGTCGATATATTCGGCACGATCTGTTCGTCGATCTCTATGGCGTGATTCTCGTCGGTACGATCCACGCGAGGTTCTTCGATGTCCGGTGACGTTGCCGTGAAATACTTGAATTCGTTCTCGACACCGGCGCTTTTTTTTGAGAGTCTTTTTGCTGTTTCTCAAAGGACGCTCTCTTATTGTCGTCCGATCTCGAATGGTACAGCCTCTGTTGCCGTTGCCTTCTTAGATTCTCGCCGCTGCTCGCCCTTGATCTGATTTCCATCTCGTCCGAGAGGTATTTGGTGCAATCAATACTGAATCTGTCCACGGACAATTTTCTAGGATACGTTTTTCTCAGTCAGTTCTTTTTATTCGACGTTGCGTTTAGAAATGAGTATTAAGAGGAGATAGGTAAATTGGAAATGTTACCGATAGTCTGCACGGCGAAAATCAGGACTTTTCCTGAACTCCAGGCTGGCTTTACGGTGGCCCATGGACCTCTCGATCTTACGATCGCTTCCGGTTTTGTCGAACGACATCTTGTGAAAGCTCGGCGATGAAATTTTACGGAAATCCCTCGGGGATATTTTCGTCAGATCCTTCGTCGCCGTCAGCTCCTCGAACAGTCTTATGTCTATCGAGTTTCTCTTCCTTGGTACAAAATCGTCTGGGTATTTGCTGTAGGCACCTGGAAGAAATGGGAGGAACCAATATTCGTCACTCGTAAAAAGAATCTTTTTAAAAATCAGTAACTTCTTCTAATTTAATCTTTTCGTTGCGGAAGGTTGTACTATGCAGCTAAATTTAGTATTTAATACGGCAGACGCTTTTAATTTCTTCGTTTCGGCATTTTAAAACTTTTAAAAATTTTCAAATTTAAGTTTCAATGAAATTCCGTTAAATCGAGGCGGTGTCCCTTTTAGTCGAACCCTTTTGCTGCGACAAATTTTAGTAGATATGCAACTCGCGTGGCAAAGCCGCGATTTTTCATTTCGTCTCCTTCAAATTTTCACAAATTTCCAAATTTAAGTTTCCAGAAAACTTCGTTGAATCGAGATGGACGTGCGCAGAGGGCAAAAATTAAGGATTCAATTAGAATGCAAGTGTGTTAAAAAACGCCAACAGCGTGGGCGCGAGGAAATATTTAAACCGCCTATAGGCGCCAAGAGCGCACTGCCGAGAAAACTTTCGAAACGCCTATAGGCGCCGAGGGTGCACTGCTAGGAAATATTCAAAACGCCTATAGGCGGCAAGAGCGCGGTGCCGTGAAAACTTTCAAACCTCCCGCGGACCTCTACAGTTACCCTCGAGTTAACTAACCTGATAATTTAGGCGAATAACCGCGTCCCGTTGGTGATCGAACAGGTTCATCGAGTTCTTCCACATGCTCGACTTTCGTCTGTCGAAGCAATTGATGACGCCTCGCTGTATCCGATCTGTCCTTAACTTTCAACGTCACAGGACCTTTATTGGGAATGTGCAAATCCATCGCCATGGAAACTTGGCTGCCTCCCATCTTTTGCTGCTCCAAACTCTCCCTGCTGACCTATTTAAATCACGTTGAAACATGTGAAAATTCTTCCATCAAATTACCCTTTCGATTATTTTCTACCTGATGAGGACTGTAGCTCGGATTATCCACGGAAAGAGCGTGCCTCTGCAGCAATTCCGGATTCAACAGAGCGCATCCTGCGTATTTCGGCGTCCTTTTGCGCGGCGATTTCTTATCGATCAACGTCGGTGCGCTTGGACTTTTTTTGATCGAGTGTCCCGCTTGTTTCTGGTTCAACTCCTTCGCGAATTGCATGAACTCCGCGGTCAATTGTTTCCTGGAGACCTCGTGAATACTGGGACTGGGACTTCTGTTCACTCTGAACAAACCGAGCTGGTGGTCCCATTTCGTCGTTTGGCTAGACGTGGACCTTCGGTTCCGTTGGTTTCTCGTGTTTTTTATTGTCGAGGTCTGATTAAAGCGAAAACGAGCCGGCACCACTTTGGCTGCGTTATCGCGTGCCTCGAAGGTCATCACGCAAGCCGCTACCACGATAAATCCTGAGAGATTTTTCTTGCGTTATTTGTCGATTACAGATTCTCGATAGTAATTATTTCTTTTTTTCTCGTAGCTCGTGATTCACATTCTTAGGCGTTTATCTTTGATTGCTCGGGTATCGGATCGTTTGTGGGAACTTTCTTACTTGTACACTTGGTAGTTTGTAGCTTTGGTTCTTTTTTTTTTTTATCGAGACTCGTCGGTATTTGAAGGAGAATTAAAAGAGGAATTAGAGAGAATTCGGATAATACGCCCTCTTTAATTATTCTTTCGTATCGAGGGAGATGAATTCGTGAAACGAGTCGGGGAACAAAGGGTTGACAATGAAACGATTAAGCGGCCCGTGAAGGCTTTTGAACGATTTAACGTCAGACATCGATGTTTCTCTTTTTTCATATTTTTTCTAAATTGCAAATTTTATTTAACGAGAGCGAGCAGTCGGTTGGTGAAACACTCGTGTGAAGAATGTAACTTGATTCTGTGATAAATTAATAAATTGCATGAAAATTATAATCGTGAAAATAAATTAGTAGAATTTCATTTATTTAATTAATGTTGAAAATGTTTAAAAACAGTTTGGGATAAGATCGTGTTCGAGTTGCACGTATATTGTGACTATATTTTTAATCAATTTAAACGATTTGTATAAATGTTTGCGTATTTTACATAAAAGTTGATTAACTCATTCTGAAAGTTTATAATTTTAAACTAAAGTAATCGTGAACTTAGGTAAATCTTGCGTACACGTGGAAAACTTTAAGAAATCGATATGAAATTATTCATTTTTCAAAAATATCCACTGATTTTATGCTATATTTGTGCAACTCGTTGTTAATTTATTTAAAAATTCGCGTATACAATTAGAAAATTTTCCAAGTAACGTCCAAGAAATATTAAATGGATTCATAACCTGTTTTCAAGATGTACCTACACGTGAGCCTCCATAGCTCAGGGGTTAGAGCACTGGTCTTGTAAACCAGGGGTCGAGAGTTCAAATCTCTCTGGGGGCAAATCTTTTTTTTCTTTTTTTTTCTTTCCGAAATGAACGACACGCATTGCACACTATCCCAGTAACAACAAATATCATTTTTTCATTCCTATTTAAACTAAATTTGTTCGTAATTTAATTACGCCAAGCCTTCAACGGTTATCACTTCATTCTTCGTTTCGACACGTTTCGTAATTTTCCTTTCTTTCTCACTTCGCAATCGTTCGGCAATTGCAACGTGAAAACAGTGCGTGTTAAGAAAAAAAAAAAAAAGGATTCGCGAACGTGAATCAGTCTCACTCGAAAATTTGAAATTTGTATCTAACTCCGTTTTCGTGCAGAAGCGTTGAATTGCGATAATTCTGAAAATAGCACGAACGATGGCGTAGTTTCTGCAACGAGAATCGAACATTGTAGAATTTTGGGTAGATGTTATTATTACCTCCTACGCCCATCACGATTGGGCCAGCGTAACTGAGGTTGTTCAGATGAAATCCACGTGACTCGTTCTTCACTCTTATTGTTAGATTGCCTCTGATCTCTTGGGCCACGGACAGCTGATCTGCGAAATATCCTGTGCACGACACGCGTATTTCAGCATATTTTGTAACGATCACCGAAATAGAGAGACTGTAATTCTAGGTGTTATCTCATCGTCTCGTATGCGCGATGTGAAATCCTGTTAGAATTAATATTCGACGAGGAAAATAACTTCAGTTGCATGCTGTCGATCATTTCACGACGTTATTTATCAGTATCAGGTAAACCGGTAATCTGACAATACTGGATATTATTCAAATTACTCAATTCTGTTCGCTGCATGCAAATTAGTACTTATAATTACGCATTTATGTATAATTGTTGTCAAATAATAACAAGCACTGTGCACAGAAGAAATTCTAAGCAGCATCATGCACCTATCTTTACGTTCTTTTCCTATTTTTTTTTTTTTTTTTGTATTTCGACTAAGAAAAAGGAAGTAGAAGTTTATCGAATATGTTGAATTACTGATTTCTCAGTAGTTGGGAAAATTTTTAAAAAAGGTGGAACGTTTGACGTTAAGAGAAAGGACTGATAGTTTGATTGTTCGTTGCGGATAGAAGTTGGTAGCGATAACGAGGTTAATTTAAAACCATTTATTAGTCCCCAGTGTTCTACTCACCTATGGTCGCCATGCAAGCTCCTGAAAGCATTAGTAGCAGACCAATTCCGAGAGCTTTGCAGGCGTACCACAAGCACCGCGTTGTCACCTTGCCTCTCACCACCTGTTCGATTTAATTGTCTTCGTTAACAGTTAATAACAGCGGACGGTGTGTCCGGTCGTTTGTTGGTCGCATTCGTGAATGCTTTACCTTCGTTTGTACATAGTTTATGGCTAGCTAAAATGCGTTCATCACCTTCTGTGATAGTGTGACATTTCTCCGGCCATTGTGACACTGTCTAAGAAGAGATGTGAAATTTTTTTTTTCGTCTTTTTTTGTGTTTTAAGCGCTTTTTCATTTGTCGAGGGGAATTTGTTCGTTTAAGTGTTGTGAAAATGATTTTCATCTCTTGGAAGCATCAGTGTTGTGATTTTAACCCTTTCGCTGCGGCAGAGTTTGGCAGACGATAGATATTCAATCGTGGATCGCGAGAATTTGTCATTTTGGCGATTTGAAATTTTGGAAAAATTTGATAATTGGAATTGAAAATTTGTCGGTTTCAAATTTCCCCCCAAAAAACCAAAAGAATTTAGGAAAATTGGGTTGAACTGAGGTGAAAGTGTGCTAAAAGTACAGCGTGAGCAAATCTTCAAAGGTCTTATAAGCGATAATAGCAGTGAAAGTTGGATTTCGTGAAATTTTTGTTAATATTTGCTTTTGACAAATATGAGGCGTGTTTCTGTTCTACATGATCCAAATAACGTTAGAAATGCACTAAAAGCGATCAATTTATCCTATATAATAGTATCAAGATTGAAAGAAATTTTGATCAGAAATTCAGGAAAATCGTTGCCGAAAGCATGCTAATTCTAAAATTCGTATTCATTCAGGTGCATGCTAATTGTAAGAAACGTGAAAGAGAAATAATTCAATCGAAGTTCTTTTTCTAAAATACATCTTTATGGCATAACGAAGAAATTATCGCACGAAATTCTTCCCTCGTTAATAATATGCTTTTCCTTCGTATCGCAAACAAAGATAGAGTATGGTCGCGTTTATGTGCACAGCCGGATTTCTGTTTGCATTTACAGTTGGGTAATATCGCGGGAAATAGTCGAAGGTATTATGTGTTTGCGTTTTCAGATTACACGTGAAGATTGCTCGAGTTATAATCTTCTGTGGAATACCTATAGTTTGCCCCATTTTATGAAAGGAAAGATAGATTATACATTTTCTGGTGTTCCACGGTGAAGTCTTTCATACTTGACAAATAAGAGAAAAGTGGTCAAATGAATTGTCGCATTATCTTTTAACAATAAATACTTCAAATATCGAATTAGAACGATTCAGCACTTGTATTTCCACGATAAAAAAGAACCATTAATTCCTAGTTTAAAACTATCCCTTCGATAACCTGGAAAAATTACTTATTTTCTGCTCGATATTCTCGTAATAAATTCTTAATACTACATCTTCGATCGACATTCCCCGTTTTTTCCTTATTTGCGAGATATCTCGGTGCACCTCAACTTTGCGTCGTTTTGCACAAACATCAGGTTACTGTGTTACTACACATGCTCTGTTTGTACCGCGCCTATAACGTAATTAGCGAGTCTATAAAAAACAACAAATAATAAACATCTCTTCTAAAAGAAGAAGTGAAAGAAATATTTGAGAAAAATGTAATACAATTACTGTACTCGACTTTGTGTAATCCAAGTTATCCTCGTTCACTGATAAATACAAAAAAGAAGTGATAAAATGATCACTCTACGTGTCTTTGGGTCTCTCTTAAACGAGGATGGAAAATCTAATCTAAAATCTAGAGGACAGAGTTGTGAAAATTTCAAACGAACTGTCTTTTTGCAATTCGACGAATAAACGAGAGTGATTCCTTGGGTGCCAAACGGAGCAATGCTGTTAGCGGAATATTCATTTTCGAGGTTCCGGTTAGAAGTTCGAAACACACCTGGACATTCCAGTGCGCTCCTGGACCGCAGGCTCTCCTCTGCGTCCCTTGCCAATGGATGCTTCCTTGGGGCATTTTGCACTCCTAAAGTTGAATAAATTTTGCATTATTAAGGGAGAGACTCGGAGAGTCTCTAACAAAATTTAATAAAAGAGAAGCTGAAGCGAGAAGCTAATTGGATAGAGGTTCGGATAGACCAGGGCAAAACGGAGATGACTGAAAATTTAATTAGGCCAATGCAAGTGGAAACGCAAAACGTTTATTGCAGATTTATACACTTCCAGGGATTTTCACCTGTATTTTTAGATTCGGATATTTTCCAGTCACGAAGTAGATTTGCTTCACGAGATAGATTTTTAAACATTGCAAATCTGAAAAAAATTCTGCTATTAAAAGAATATAAAAACAGTTGTATTAATATTTTTAATAAAGTACGCGTTTATTTTTTCATTCTTTACAACTAAGATTTGCAACGAAAGATTTTAAAGAAAACTCCTTATCTTCTACCTCGGTATATACAAGCGCCAGATTTTTTTCCAAATTTTTGCAAACCTCTAAACAGAAAAAATGGAGCAAAAATTGATAATTCATCCGCATTTTTTTTTTCATTTTTTAATACTAGAATTTGCAACGAAAAATTTTGAAAAAATTCACTAACATATACCTCGGTATATTCAACGCGCCAGATTTTTTTCAAAATTTTTGCATACCTCTAAATAGAAAAAATAGGGCAAAAATTGATAATTCATTCGCATTCCTTTTTTCATTTTTTAATACTAGAATTTGCAACGAAAAAATCTGAAAAAATTCACTAACATATACCTCGGTACATTCAACGTGCCAGATTTTTTTCAAAATTTTTGCATACCTCTAAATAGAAAAAATAGGGCAAAAATTGCTAACCTAAATTTTCCCTGTGACCACCCTTCCAGTCCAGATAAAGGGTTGAAACTTGGTGTCGAATATTTACTTTGAATAAGCTATCCAATAGTCCATTGCAAGATTAATTTGATTTAAGAACACTCTACTTATTCCCGCAGAAAAGGGTTAACACACATTGCAAAAATCCATTCCTAACTATAATTCTACTACACAAAATTGCTCTCAGCATCATTGATTACCAAACGTTACCCACGAAGACGTAATTTACGCGTGTAGCTTGAAAATAGAATATATTCCAGCTCTCTCTCTCTCAGTGCCTCGTTTCATTTAAACAGAAGGGCGAAACTTCTTGCCTCGCGTCGCTTTAATTCAACTTCGTGATACGTTCTAGTATATAGTACACTTGCCACGGCTTTTACCATCCTCTTGTACTCATTCACTTTTACATAAGGGTTGGTAACAGAGTCCACGGCTCGCACAATGTATTCGTGTACAATTATCTATCATTCTTCGGTATATGTGTGTCCTTTGTATACGTGAGCTAGTCTACTCATGTGCACATAACAGGGGAACCATTGTTCCATCTCCCCGTTTCGTATCTTTTCCTCCGTCTTTCACCGCGGAAAGTTCGCACTTCGTATCGATCCAAATCCTTCTTTACGCTTTCTTCCGCAATCTCTGTTTACAACTGGAAAACTTGCCCATTTTCTCTGTCACGGGTTTACCGCGGATTCCAGATGTATTCGAGAGCACGATCGCGGATTGAATAGCGACTCGAGAGTAGGGGTTTCTCCACCTGACATATTGCTTCTGTCGATTCCGGCTTTCACCTTCTCGAATATTCCATCGAGGACACCTCTCCGTAAAAAATATACGTATATATGCAAATCTGTCGATACTTTTTTGCGGTCGAATTTATCAAAAAAAGAGGGAACGTTGGGAAAATGTAAGTTTTTAAAAAAAAAAAGTGTTGTAGTTTGGATGGAATAGTTGGTATATAGAAGCGCGTGACCCGATTTGTTTGATAGCCATCGGTCTCGTTTTTACTTCTATCGAGTAAAAACGTATTGAACTGAGAAAACTTCTCTTTTCTCGTGGATCACGTTTGAATAGAATGTTCGAGGAAGGAAAAGAGGCCTTCGTTGGGGCTCGAGTGTAAGCCTTCTTCGTGGAAAGAGATTGGAACGTCGAATTCGCGAAAGGATTCGTTACAATTAAGATGATCGAGAGGCTAGGCTCTTGAATCTCCTTTCGCGGTGAATATTGTCGATCCTACGAAGTGATAAATCTTCGAACGCAGCCGCGATCAACCGAGCAAATTCTCTTTTTAATCTCTCGATTTAAATGGTAAATTCGCTCGATAGGATCCGCGACTATAAGTCACCGTTAACCTATATTTAAATCCAAGAAGAATGGGCGATATTTCATTCGCATGCGTTCGGATGAAACAGATGGGCGGAGAGAATGGGAGAAACTGTTAACACTTAACAGATAGCTTACGAAGATTTCTCGTGCCTTTTCTCGTTTTTTGATTAATTGTAGTCTTTTTTTTTTCGATGATTGAACGAGGTATCTGAATACAGGGAGAAAAATTTCTGAGGGGAAATTCGAGAGCCTTGATTACTTTTAAAGAAAGGATCTTGTCTATTTGGAAGTCAGTTTTGGTTTAGGTAGAAAAGAGGTTTTGACAAGAGGATAGTAAGTTTGCAGCTGATAAAAAAGGAGCGAGATAATGGATATTACATATTTTACGTGTAAAGAAAAAGGTGTAAAGGAATTTGCTTTTAAAAATGTCACACCCTTTGAAATTACTAAATTTATTTAAGAAAAATTTTACTACTTTCGTATAATTTGTTAGAATTTCCATAAAAGTGTGAATTTGCATACTTTTACCCACTTTTACACGGTACAAAGGAATTTTCTTTTAAAAATGTCACACTTTTTAAAATTACTAAATTTACTTAAGAAAAATTTTACTACTTTCGTATAATTTCGAAATAAAAAAGTGAATTTATTAGGGTAAAGCTACTGACATGCAGTCATTTATGCGTTAAGATATAATTAGGCTGTTAAAAAAAAATTCTTACTATTTTTCAAACTGTGATTCACCCAGCAAAACGTCATCTCTTTCAAAAATTCGAGCCTCACTCTTTCGTTAAAATTTTAATGCATCCAGCTTAGAAACATTTAAACACGTTTCCAGCGACGTTATATTCAAACACTCACATCGTCAATTTTCCTTTTTTTAACGCTAAAAAGTATCTCAATTTTCGATAATTAAATAAGAGAACAAACAAAACAACGAGCGTATAATAAACAAGAAAGAATGATGAACGAGTAAACGATTTATCTCACTCTACCATAAAATCCCTGAAAAATCCCAAGGCGATAAGTGGAGAAATGTAAATAACGCATTGCATCGTTTCCAAAGAACCGAATCTATCTTCATTTGCATAACCGCGACCTCTCGTATTTTGTCCAACTGTTTTACTCACAGTCGAATCAGATCCCGCGGTTTGCCAGATAACCAAATGGTTCGTTTGAATAATTCATGGAAAAAAAGAATTTCCCATTCGCGCTGTGTTTTCTCCCTTTTTTTTTCTCCTATTCTCCCGACGCTTTTTCCAGACATTTCACCGCGAACAAAGATCTCCCCGTCCATTTACGAGATTATTTGCGATGGTCGAATGTCCCCGGGAACACCGGCAAAATGATCCAGCTTTTAAGCCCGCGTTCGAGGCGTGCTTTAATATGCAGAAAGCAGGATTGCTCTCGTGATTAAACTTTATCCCATGGAAGTGCTTTCTTGGTAACGGTTCGCAAAGAGGAAACGTTCACGTGGAACGAGAGATAAGAAATTTAAAGGGAGATAATGCAACTTCTGCCCCCGTCCTCTTATCACAATTTTACCCTTCTCCAACGAACGAACCATTGTACGCTACACCTCCGTAATTTATCATTCGGCAACACGTTCTTACGAACGACAAAACTATCTTCAAACGTGAAATCGTAACCGTACCTCTAAACGCTATCGCGACGATACTGTACCGAGAAGAAAAAAACGAGGCAAATTTCCATTCCTTCCACAAAACATAATGTATTCGTGCAAACTCGTTTCACTCACCTTGGCGCCACTCTGGATCCGTTATCGCAGCATCCGCTTCTTTCTTCCAACATTCTCTTCTAGCCGATGTTTATGCAAATTCGCCGTGAAACCGAACGACACGTTCGTCATAAATTTACGAAGGATCGCGCACCGGCGGCACTTCGATCGCGTGGTTACACGTTCGATCCACGAGAAAAATTGGAAAAAGTACGAAAGTAGACAGCTGACGATTAGAAATTCACGATGAAGAGATAGGTAACGACTGCTCCGCCTAAGAGCTGCTTTATTTTCGTTCCAGCACGTGGTTCACGTATACGAAAATCACCCGGAGGCGAGAAATCCCGGTGACGAGACGGTGAAATGTCTAAGTACTCAGACTGTGTCTCTTGAAAACGCGTTTGTCATTTCAACACGAGCTCTCTTTCGGCTGGCTGTCCCCTAATTCCGTAATTAACCGGGCCTCGTCGGTCCCGTCTAGCAAATGCCAATTAGTTCTCCGCGTAAACTTCATTCACAAGGCTCGGTCTTCTGATTCTCTCTCTACCCCTTTTTCCAACCCCTCCTCGGTCCTCGCTCTACGGCATTGTTACGTGCAACCTTTGTTTCGTTGTTTCCACTGAGGTACCGCGCGTCTCTTTTGCATTTCGAGGTTATCGATTCATTCGTGTTTCACCACGTTTACAGGTTAATTCTGTATGTGGGGCAACACGGTTGAATTTTCGAGGAAAGAAAGGAGGAACGGTCGGTCTATCCGCGGTTCTTTCAAACGTTTGATAGTTTTTAATGACCGCACCACCACCGTGTCGTTCCCGTTTTCCACGCTGGCGAGTCAACGTAATTACACTTGCCGCGTGTTTGCCTCAAAGGTGGAAGGTGGATCCTTTCTTCAAAGGGTACCTCAGATGTCGCATTGTGTCTGTGCGGAGAGAAAAGTTGTTGCATTCAGAGCCGCGTTAATTCATTAACGAGTCGTTCGAGTGTTTCTTTTACGATTTCTTTTTAGTTACGAAGTTAACGATTCTCTTCGATATTTAGTCGCTAGTTTTTTTTTTTTCTAGGGTGTCTGATTCGGATTCTAATTAGATTC